CGAACGAACTTCCTAACTGCGCGCAGTTCCTTCGCGAGTATCATGCCGTTTAATCGTGATTAGACTAGTCACGATATTTTAGACGATTCCACGCAGAAAATTGATATTGTGCAAAATTCATCAATTGGTGTGTTGAATTTTAAAATTGTTCTCGTCTCATTTAGAGATAGCCATATTTTAAGGTGTAACGAACAAATTTTATTGGACAATTTTCGATAATGTCATAATTTTCGTCACGCTGTATCGCGAGTTATGGCACCTTAACTTCGGTCTAGCCAAGGCGTACGATGACATCGAATTGATTTACAGACAATGTTACGACTGAGCCGAAGCCGACGAAGGCTCGGGTAATTTGGTATTTCCAAATTAACTTAACTTCTGCAAGCTTTAATTACGTTTCTTGGCCTGGCCAACTTTGTTACCGTGTCGCTGTCCATATTGTTTAGCTGCCAGCCGCCGCTGGCTTCCATTAGCCTCCGTGTAACTAACTTCCCTCCTCTTCGCAGGACTTGCCGCTCACAGAAGCTTGCGAGATCCGCGGATTACCGGCTGACTCAGGCTCTTAGTTTTCGAAGGCCACTCGAAGCTGCTTAGAAACACCCTCTCCCCTCCTCCTACCCTCTGCTCGCACCACCGACGATTCCTAATTCCAAAGAAATTTCAATAGCGTTGAATAGTGTCGACGACAATTTCTCCATTGTTGCGAACAGACTAGAAATTTCCATGAATTTAAGGGGAAATTCAAAGACTCAGAAACGAGAGTAAAATAGTTCCCTTAAGATCTAATTTCTACTTCGATATGAATTTGCACAAATAAGTCTGCAGTCTACGGACTTTTCCGATAATTTATTTCTGATCTTTTTTTCTTTTATACGTTTCTTTTCCGTCTCGATTTTAGATTCTGCTTTTTTAAGTTCTAGCCACAACCTAATAATTTAGAGATTTGGGGAATCATGAATTTGGGGGGGAGAGATTGAAATGTATAAATTGTAAGTTCTAGTTTCTTCGATTCTTTTTCTTCATATACTTCAAATATATATATTTTCCGTCTCGACTCCAGCTTTTGCTTTCTCAAATTCTAATCACAGAATCTAATTTATTTGTTTGATTATTAAAATTTAGACTGTCTGACTTCATCTCACATGCTTCGTAACAAACGTTGGCAATAAGATAAAATGAAATTAAATAGTACGCAATAGAAGTAAAATAGACAGCAAGTGCTCGCATTTTTTAGTACACTTGGCAATAAAATGTCAAGTTTCTATTCTTTCTTTACTTTTACTTGCTTTCCTTTCCTTCAATCGATCGTACCACGATTTTCGATACAACTCGTATGTCCGTCACTGTGTCATGATTCCAAGATTCTCGTCGATAAATTATACTTTCGTGCGTCCAAAGCGCATCTTGTCCAATTTGTGTCTCGCGAGCGAAAGAGAAGTTCCGTGTGAAACGCGAACGAAACAAAGGTTTCGTCTATGAAATCGAACGGCAGCAAAGCGCACGGTTGTTCTGCACGACGGGGGGCCTTAATTGCACCATTGTTTCGGACGATGTCGTTAATCGAATAAAGTAACAACTCGGCTGTAGAAGCCGAGCATTAATTAGTTTATTCCGCGAGCTATCGAGCCTGAGAGCCTCTCAGCTCTCGTCTAACGAGTCTCCGGATCTCCACTAACGGAAATGAACGTCATCGGACGAAACGATCATTCTTTCCTCCCGCTTTGAGTCGCGTCACGATCGTCGAACACTCCGGACGTAGGATTAATCGACTGCTCGCGTGAAATTATTATTGAAATATCTAGTGATCGATGCTATTACCCACACCGTGTTCACCTAATTTCAACGAGGCTCTGCTACCAACAGACGTGTATTCCATCCACGTACGGCTGAAACGTTCGAGAATCTTGAAACAAAGATGAATCGGCTTTTTATAGAGAACGATGATTGAACGATTGGTTTTCGAAGAAGAACTCGGATTGAGAACGCGAACTAGTTGTTGTACGGAAGAAGGACAAACAGAGAAGTCTCTAGATCAGTAAATTATTATTATTAATTATTAATTAATTTTCGAATTTTCGATTTAATTCCGTTTTATTGCTATTTCTCTCCGAAACGGAGAGCCTGAACGTTGTTTCTATTTTTTTTTTTCTATACTTTTGCGTCTAGAATCACCATTTTCGGTACACTCTTGTATAGATAGATGAACATATACAGAGAGAGAGAGAAATGTTCGCTTCGAAGAAAAACTGGCACAAATGATCCATGAACTGGCGGATTCGTTGAAACGGCGCTGGTCGTTAAAGGAGATCTCCGTGGTCATTAATGGCAGAGGACAAAGTCGGGGAAGTTGGAGAAAGCTCTTCGAGCGTTGTTCCTCGTGAAATTGATGCGAGGAAACGAACGCCGATTGTTTGACGAACGTCCTCGAAACGAATTTCAGCTGAAGCTACTTTTTCGTTCTCATTGCACGCCGTGATAATACGCGACAGTTACGAATAACGCAGAAGTCAATGCTATTTTCCCACCGTGTCGTTGTTTCCAATGTGCCATTTCGCTCAAACTCGGAGTAAGAAAAGAAAAAAACGGAGAAGAACGGAAGAATAGAAAATAGAAACGTCTCACGCTGAGAAGAAAGCTACGTGGAGGAAAAACTAGAAAAAAAGTACGATGAAGAAGAAAAGAGAAAGAAAAAACAGGATTGAGGATGTGTGACGTGAATATACAGGATGTTTCGTAACTTATGGAACTCACTTCGGGAGCTGATTGTACGCCTAAATATAATGAAAAAAATATATACATATAAATATAAATATATGCTCTATCTGTCTTCGTTTATGGGATATAATGAATTTTATAAACAGAGCAAACTTTAGTAAGCTAGTTTTACCAGGGATGGTACATTCAATTTTCATAATAATCATAATTGGGATGAAGAAAATCCACATGTTATTGTGCATTCAAGACATCAACACCAGTTTAGTTTAAACGTATGGGCAGGAATAATTGAGAAATTTTTAATTGGACCTTTTTCTCTTTATGGGAAACTAACAGGCACAAAGTACGTTGATTTTTTCAGCACGCGTTTACACGAAATATTAGAGGAAGTTCCAGTCGATANATCTATTGTATACGCAACATCGATTGAACATGCTGAAATACTACGAAATAGAATAGAGCAAGGCTTCCGACAAATTCAAGAAACATCAGGAACGATAGAGAGAGTAATCAGATCAATGAAAAGACGCGTGCAGGCTTGTCTTCAAATGCAAGATGGTTATTTCGAGCATCTTTTGTAAAAGTAATAAACACAGAAAATTCATTATATCTCATAAACGAAGACAGATAGGACATATATTTATATGACATTTTTCATTATTTTTAGGCGTACAATCAGCTCCCGAAGTGGGTCCTACAAGTTACGAAACACCCTACATGATGAAGAATGTACGGATGCACGAATGAGCGAAGAGTGTAAAAAATTTGACAGAGAAAAGCAGATTGGGAGGGGAAAAGAAAATCAGAGAAAAGGAACAGCGAACCGGAAAGATCGAGGGGAAGAAGATAAGGGAATAAAGAAGCGCATCAAACGTTCATTAAGATAAAATGGAAATGAAGGAGGTATACTTTTCCGTGTAACGTGTTGTGGGGGTGGGCGCGAATCGCCATGAAATTTATTTAATAACCCGCGAAAGTAGCTGTTTTATCCGGCACATCTTTACGAGTTCTTCTTCTTCGTTCTTTCCTCTTCCTCCCCGCTTACGCCCTTAACTTTTTAATGGCCTCGAAGGAGTGGAAATTTCTCTCCGCGCGAAACGATTCTCCCGCCGTCGTTTCGCGCGCCCTCGGTGTCTCTACGAGTCTCGCCAACGCGTTAACTCGCCCGTGGCACGCGCGTTCGCGTTTCACCGCGTTTCGCTGATCGACCGACAAATGGACGGCGGATATCTGATGAAGTATTTAAAAGTGTCATCGTTCGTGGACGAGGATCCGCGAAACGGTAATTCACGGGGAGAACGTCAATTTGATTGCGCGCGACAATTGAATCTAGACAGCGAGCCAGCATCGTTTTTCAATCCAGCCCCAAAGAGAGAACGAGCGCGAGAGAGAGAGAGAGAGAGAGAGAGAGTTAATGAAACGTGTCTATCGAAAAATTAAATATAGCGCACGCGACCTCGGCAAGCAATTTTTATGATGCTCGTTCATCGTGGACACCATCTCTCTGCCTCCAACTTTTTATACAATTTTTTTTTTTTTTTTTTTTCGCCTCTTCTATATTCTGCTCCTCCGCCTCGTTTCCCTTTCGCCCGTATTTATAACCTGAACCCGGTTCACCGGCAGTCAGCGTTTCAATTCCAATAATTGTCGATCGATTACTCCAATTTCTGTTGGTTCTGCGTGCCACCGTGAAGGTGATACTTCTCGTTCATTTCCTTCCATCTCTTTCGCCAAAGAGATTCCGGCCGATACGGTTAATTCGATCAGAAGTTGCACAGTTCTCTGCTCAAAAGGCGGAGGGAATTTTTAATTGTGTAACTCTCAGCTGGTGTGAAGGATAATTCGTGTTGAAACGATGGTTAGATGAGCGTCATTTGCGATATGTATCAGTAGACGAGGAATCAGAACATTTCTATTTTATTGCGAATCTCGAGGAAGGTTCTGTTCTGTTGGAAGTGTGAATTTTTTGTTGAAGGCGCCGCAGTTAGAATCGTCGACAGTGTTTCGGTGAAAATCCTTTCCCAATTTTAATCAAATTTTACTTTTACAGTACCGATAAAAAATTCTCTTACATTCCTTTCGTTGTTACATCGTTACAACCAGGTCTCTATAATTTCGTAAAATTCAAAGATACTGAATTTACAATGTTTACACAGAGTTGTAGAAATTAGCTCGACTTCCCATTAATTTCGAGTCAACTTCTCCATTCAAATTCGTCTCAACTTACGTGGCAACTCTGATCCTCGTGCGCTCCAATTAAAACTTCGTCTCTCTGCTTGTTACAGACCTAATCGCCAATTCGAGGGGGAAAAAGCGGCAGAAGACTCGAAGAACAGGGGCGTCCGTCCGCGAAATATGGAGAACGTCGAGAACGCGGTACGGCGAGCGAGAACATCACCGGACGATAGTTGCGTCAAGGTTTCAACGAACAGACATTAACTCGGTGACGGTGCAGCCAACGACACGCCTCGCGGCAGAGGAGGATTGATATCTCGCGGATCTAACCGTGACAGCGGACCATGGTACATTATTTAAGGAGATGATAACCAACCGACACTGAAGAGTCTGCCACGGGCTGAGATAATATATCTGGTGCGTCATGGAGGACAACGTGAACCAGGCTGCAAACTTGTCCACCGACGGGTTGGCGTTCACGGATGCCTCGATCATCCTCAGGGCTCTGGTACTCGGTCTGCTGATACTCGTCACCGTTGTTGGTATGTATCAAGCGCGAATGAAATATGTGTGGTTTATTAGCATATCATTATTTTTATATCGATGATTTATTAGCGCAGAGAAACAATTTTTTTTCGAAATTGTTCGATTATCTGAGCTGTCAGGTGAAATAATTTTTCATCTTGCATTCTATAGTTTCTGCTTTGTTACCCTTTTTTTTTTTTTCTTTATCTTTATTAAATAAAATTTTTCAACTCTGTTTCACTTCCTCTCTTTCTCTGATCGTCTTCGACACTTGCGCGAAGAAATTCGATAGGTTGTTACGAACGATCGGCCAAAGTTTTATTTGTTTCGCGGCCCTCGCTTATCGACCAACTTCCAACTGGAGAAATAAAAGTTGTCGAACAAGGTCGAGCTACAGAGGTGTGTGCAGAGTGAGACAGGTTAAAAAAGTATCGGGTACAAACGAAGTAACTTACTCACGATCCTGATAGCCCACGTAGAGTTTCGTATCGAATTTATCGTCGTGAATATTCGGAGGAAAGTATGTTCCGACGTTGGCTAAAAGGAAATGATTTTTGGAATTTCTGCTGATTCAAGGAGGAACGTCGTGAGACGCAGAATGAATTCGAAAACGGTAAAGTTTTCGACACGTAGTATAAATAGGGTAAATTTACTATCAAAGTTTTTTTTATAAATTTCCTAAGTATCCACGTGTCTTTCTTGGATATCCACAATTTAATCACCTAGTAAGTTGTTTGTAATCTAAAATCCAGCTTTGCGCTCCACAGAGAGTTAACCTCTCCACTCTCCATTCATATTGTCGAGTCTCTGTATCAAATTCACTATCAAAATTTTACTTCACAATTATTCCAATTTCCTAAATATCATGCGTCTTTCTATCTCAATTTGATCGCGAATGAAACGTACGTAATTCAAAATCTAGCCAACGTTAATCGTTTTTCGAGTTTCTTCTCCAGATGAAAACTCACTGAGCTCGTTCGATCATCGAGAGGAAATTCGACGTACCGAGCCAAAGCCACCAGACTTTCGGAAAACCAATAAATGGTAACATTGCGATCGTCTAATCAATTAATTGCTCTCCCTCCGACTATTATATCAGCGAGTTACGACGCGTAAGCTCTGGTACCTCTGTTTTGGCTGGTGTAATGGGTTTGTCAGGGTTGGTAGTTTCGCGGATCGCGTGAATGCTGCGGCACAATGGGAGATTAATCTAAAGCCGACGCGTATCCATGTCGCGTGATGTATCATCGGGGGTTGACAAGGGTAACCGCGGTGACGTCTGCACGCGTTCACGCGGACAGAATCGGCAGAAGCACTTGGAAAAGTAGCGTGAGAGAGCGCCTGGAGAGGAAATTCCCTGATCCGACGACGACGACGAAACGAGCTGCGAGAGTTATCGGGCGCCGCGTCGCGAGTTAATGGTTCGATTAGAATTTCATGAGACCTTCGCCTGTGGGTAGCGAACGCCTGTTTAATGTCTCCGAAAAAGAGTGCCAATAAGAATCTATTATTCCCCGCACAGAGCTGTCCCGTGATATTTGCAGAAGCATTTTGACGCCGACGCCGTTCCATTTCTAACACTCTGCCGATTAACTATCGAAGTAATCGGTAATAAATTCCGTGAGACTCGGAGCTGAAGATTTTATAAGACAATGGAATGTCACGTTTCAAGTGTGTTAATTTATGTGTCGTTTAACTCGAGTCCTCCCCGGACTGCGAGAAATCCGGACGTTTCGATTAATTCCCAGGCTAATCGAGTTCATTATGCAGCGTAGGAATTGCAAAGTATTTAGCGCGGGTGTATTATTCCGTATAAATTGCAGAAGCATTTAATAAACCTCCAATATTCAGCGGGATCGTATTTAACGCTCGTATCGAAAACGGTCGATAATACACCAGGGTCCAGCTGCAGAATTGAACTAGCATTATTAGTGAAATTTTACGAGCCACAAGTCACGAATTTCCAGCGCGAATGTGTTTGCACATTATCTCTCTATCTCTTTCTCGTACGGTGGTAACAAGTTTTGCCAGCGAAACGAGAATTGAACGTTGCAACTCTCTATCTCAAGGAATGTTACTATTAATTAGTAAATTAACGCGTTCTATTGCATAAATAAATATTCCGCTAAAGATCACCTTACGGTAAGATTCTGGCTTTAAAATGGGGTAATTAATGCTGACATTAATTAAGAGAACCTATTTCCTTCAACTTGATAGTTTATACTTCGTTCCAAACGCTACGTTCAATAAATTCTATTCCAAATTCCAGATCTTCAATCTTACACGCCGTTATGAAGTTTGTCTATTTCAAATTTAGAGTTATCTAGATCGTTTTTATAAAATAAAATTCGTTTCGGCTCAACGAATCGAAAGAACTGAAATTGCAGAAGGTAAAGATTATCCACAGTTTATTTTATCATCTGGAAGTGAGCAATGCAGATTACTTAATTTCTGGAAAACAGAATCTGCAAAATGGGGGACAGTTTATCCTTGAAATTTCCCGTTTTTGAGACTATCTAACGAGATTCAGATCACCTTGAAAGGATTATTAATTACATTTTTTGCCAGTGAATCTGCAATCTTCTGATAACCTCTCTTCTCTACTCTCAGTCGAGAAAGAGAGAGAGAGAGAGAGAGAGAGAGAGAGAGAGAGAGAGAGAGAGAGAGAGAGGAAGTCAAAGACTGAAATGAAAGGGAATGGGAGGAGGGAGTCAAAGATTAAAAGAAAATTCGATTAGAAGGGAACGAGGTTATCGAAATTGGTCAAAAACCGAGCCACCGTGCCAGATGGCAATTCGGTCGTTAAATGGGCCGCAATTGTTTTCAAATTCGCTTTCATTTCGTCGTTTTCGTTTCGCCGGTCTGTAATCTGCTTACGAAACTCCTCTATCGCGAAAATTCGCGTGACATTTCGCTTTTAACGAGATATTTTCTTTTTTTTTTTTTTTTTTCTTTAATTTCTGGCTCAAACTGGCACCTTCGGACAATACTATGGAAATTTGATTATAGCAGTGAAAGAAATTCTTCTGTAAACGTGTGTGCTGCGTAGTATTTTGAAATTCCATTAGTACACAATTACGTACGATCGTAATTATTATTTAAACTATTCTGCTATTCAATTATAAATCTCATTATTCCCTTTGTTAAATGTACGTATGTACATTTGCATTTTGTCACTTTTTTTAATGCAAATTTGGCTTTAAATCTCGTCAATAAAAATACTAATAGAGTCTCAAGAAGTTTCACATAACTTTGCAAGTGTTTCTACGATGAATGAAAGCACGGACTTTATTTTCGAGCAAAGTTCTTTAGGCATCAGCTAAACGAACGATTGGAATTATGAAATCCAGACCGATTGAAAATCAGATTTCACCTCAATCATTTTCATTGTAAAATTAAGAAGTGTAACGCGTGTTTCGTTCGATAATCTGGTACGGAAACGATCAAACACTAACTATGTCAGCATCGCTGGCATATTGAAATCGAATAGTTATTAATCAATTCATTTCGTAAGTGAAATTCCTCTCGTCATTAGCAAATTGTTACGATCAAATATTGAACGTCATAGGGCACCTGATTGAAACGCGAACCGACGATCGATTCATCGATCTCTCTGCCCAAAATAAATCAACCACTCACTATCGAGAAAGCCGCGAAGCGAGCAAAGCTTGAAAGTTCTCATTGCGTAACACTTCGTTCAAAAATCGCGCCAATTGCGTATAAACGTTTCTCCCTTCGATCGGCGCCAGTCCAATCTCTGATTTCCTCTAATTTCTGACATTCCTTTTTGAAGGCGGAAATGTTCTTTCCACGAGGATAATAGCAATGGTTTCCGTTTCGCGGGTCAGAACATCGCTTATCGCGTCGCGATAAGAACGTTTCAATAGAACAACGTTTCTTCATCTTTAATCCCATTTTCCCAAATCGTAGAATTTTTCTGCTTCGAGGCGACAGGTTCGATTTTGCCGAGTCAGAGACCGATATAGACGGAGTCACGATTTTTCCTGAATATGTGTGTGTATATGTGTATATATCTTTTGTCAATACCACGTAGTTCTCATCTTGGAAATAAATCGTCGTAAAATATCTCCTCAGGTTTAGGACTAACGTGAGTCAATACTTTTTATTTGGAATTTAATATTCCTACGATTTGTAATGAAAGGAATATATAATTTAATTGAAGGAAAGAGGTGGCCAGAAAAAATCAACACACACAAAAAATTGTTACGCCATTTTTTTTGCCTCCCTCGAAAGCATACAACTTTTCATTAGACGCATAATTAAAAAGTTACTTCAGGTGTGCAAGTTTACGTGAACCATCCTGTATATAATATACACAGATGACGTACTCTGAGGATGGTTTTTCCCACGTCAAGGAGAAACGCGCTGCCTATATCGACCGCTGTCTTCTTTATACGCGACGGCCAAGTAGAAAGAAGGTAGTTTAGTCGTCCAGCACGCTGTACGGCCTATTTAAGCCTGTATAGAAAAGGATCGTAAAGCATTATGTTCGCGTACGATCGTTCAATGCTGTCCAGATTTCAGTCCCGATACCGTTAAGTTGATGTAACGCGTTAAAATTCGCCGGATCAACGTGAACGATCAAATTCCACAGTTTCAATATTAAAGGATTCGATCAACTGAATAGCTCGTTGCGACATTAAAGCAATCGTTGAATACTTCAAATAATAATTCGTCTCGTTAAAAGTACAGTTGAATAATTCCCGAGACCGTATATCTCTCTTTGTCTCATAAATCGGTGCCAGTTTATCTCACGGATAAACTGAAGTTCACGAATTTACGAGGAGAAAAAAAATCCGAAACCGGCGGCTTGAAGCGTAAATATTGTCCCGCTCGTGGAGAGTGATCGCCACGCTGACTCTCGGAGAGAGTCGGGGACGAAAATCTTCTCTCCTCGCGCCGGACAAAATCAACGAACGTCCCTCTAAACGAGCGGCCCACTCTGATTAACGCCTGGATTTATCAACGGCTGGCTGGACAGGATTTTTCATACGTA